GATCAATTCTATAATCTTATCAGCTTTTCTAATCAAAAAACGACGTCGATTGCCGTGAACCGCCGATTGATTCATTCCTGAAGCTCAATAAACTGCGTAGATAGCAAACTGCATCAAAATCGGTTGATCCTGAACCTGTTACATTTTTTAGATTCAAAGAGGAGAAAGAATTTTTAAGAAATTAGCCGGAAGTTGGAGGAATAGCTTGTAGGGTTAACCGTATTTTTTTTTTTGATATTTGACAAATCTAACTTTGATGTATTAAGTATGTTGAAAACTCGTGAACACATTTCTATAACGCTTTGTTAAAATTTTATTAAAAAAAAAAAACAAAAGAAAAAAGTTCTTTAGTCTAATATACTTTCCCATTATACTTCTATTCTTTATTGGAATCTTTATAGCAATAAAATATTTGTATCACTAAATTGTTCCCGTCGAGTATATTCCCGATAGGCTGTAATAGGCAGTGGGTGATAAAGTGGTCTGCCAAGGGGGCTGCGACAGAAGTAAGGTGTGGAGAGGCGCGTAAATCAGACCCGTGAGCTCCGCTGTATTTTTCTTCTGTCCAACATCTAACAAGGAGTTAAAAAAGAAATGGTTAAGAATGTTTATTATAGGACAAATAAATTGTTCCGATCGTTTCTTGTATTTACAAATAGTATGTAAACATTTACTTACTCTTAGCCGTGCAGTGCTGGCGTAAGAACCTCTACTGCACCACATACCCGAGTGTCGTAAAACGCGACGTATTGAAAACAGGAGACGGGGAGCAGCATCCTCCTTTATGGGGCAGTCTACGGGTAGGCTTATACTTATAGTTCGGCAGCAGAATTTTGAAAGGCTGTAAAAATGAAATGAAATGAAATTTTTTTCGGTGTCAAAAAATCGCATATAATTGAAAAAAATACACACAATTTAATTTATAGAAATAGACCATCGTATCATCAAATTATATAAAATTTAAAAGAAAGTTACATGGTGATATACTATTTACTACATACTGACACATCTTCTCATCACTAATTTCTCAAAACCTTGAAACAAGAGTAAACATCTATAGTAGTGGTGATATATGGAACGTGATCTTCCACTGCTGGCTGTATGTGGATGCTTAGCGGCTTACCGCGCTATGTGAGTGAATAGTGTGCGACTTGCAAAGATCGAGAAAGAACCACTCTGCCACAAAATACGCTATAACGAGCACACAGTGCACCTGATGATAAGTGGATGCTGTGGCCCATAGACATGTACATCTATCCTTGATTAAGAATCAAAATGTAAATGCATTACCACTCCTGAGGACTAATATGGAATGCCTCATTTCCAGTAAAAACGGTCTTTGGTTCCCTACACTTACCATACGAAAGACAGCAGCATTGAGCTGCCATTTGAGGCTACGGTCTCCTATTAAATGCTATACGCGACGTCCGACTTCAGCGTTGAAGTTCCGATCGGCGTCTGAACGCTAGGCACAGCGTCAAACATATCTTAGCAACGGATGACGTCTAGACTCTAGACTTTCGATCAAAGAACAGTTAAGTAGCCGACAGTCCTCACGTGTGGTTGTGTGTGATATTTGTACATAAAATTGATATAAATTCAATACTTTTGACAAGAAGACCGTATACGAAGACAAATTAAGGCAACAAGGCACCGATTATTTATGAAGAGAAATGATGAAGGGTATTTACAGCTATTGATAATGAAACACTTAAAACACAGCAATTCTAAATTTACTGAATATTTTTGTATTAATCAAGAACAATTTAAACATAATAATAAATCAATATCTCGTCTTTTTCTTTATTAAATTTTGTCATATTGTACTGACGCTGGACACGACTTTCACGCTGCAATGGTTCGAAATAACTAGAGACGCAACGCAAAGCGTTTTAACGCCGCTTACGACGTCCAAACGCCGACATCAGCTTGTGAAAGAGACGACAACAGTACATTTCTATAGTAAGCATCGTAACGCGGCGTACGGCGTGACGCTGTAAGCGGCCGATGGCGTTTATAGGAGTTTTCTGTGAGAGTGTGGTCCCCGGTTGAGCTGACCCATTCGTGCTACAACTAATCATAACATCTTTACGTGACCGGTTACGTGAGGTTTGTACTTAGTTATAAGTAAAATCCGTTGATACATGAATGGAACACTAGCATGTTTATCTTATATTTACATGAACACTACACATAGAAATAATACTAGTTTTTACGGAATTTATCGCGTATATTTAACTTTTTAATAGCAGACGTTTCGAACGCTTTACAGCACTCATGGTCACGGGCGGAACTGAGATGTTCAACGTCCAGATGTCATAGTTAACCGCGGTTACCATAGAATAAAATTTAACTTTTGTTCCGATCTACACAGTATGAACTTATGGTATCTTAAAGTCTTGCAGTTGTATGCTTGGGTTGGGATTTAATTTTATTTATTATAGAATCCCAAGCAGATGGTAGCACCCAGCCATCTTCTCTATTAAAATTAGGATGTTTTTTGATTTTAATAGCCTCGCGAATCATCCTTGGAAGGAATCCGTGTTCTTTAGCGAGGATTTGTGGTCTATCAAATCTGATGTAGTGACGGGGGCGATCCTGTACGTGTTCACAGACTGCAGACTTCCCGGAGCGTCGATTCTTCACATCAGCTATATGTTCTTTAACGCTGGTTTTAATTGATCTTTTATATTTGTACTTATACGCTGCCTTACTTATATGCTACTTATAACTCTAAATGTTACTTTGTTTGTGGTGAGAAATAAACGTTATTATTATTATTAGGGGTATCTGTATAGTTTTTTCATCTGGTTGGTTTCTATAAATATATAATTATAAATTAAAATGAAAAGATAAATATACATATATATCAATAAAATAAAATAAATACAAAAAATACACAAATAAATAAAGATCCGACCAGATGAAAGCCCTCGGCAGGTGAGACCAAACGGCCGAGGGTTAGGGGGAAAGGGAAAGAAACCGACGGACGATGCGGGCGGTATCGCGGAGCACCGCCTTCTGCATTGGAGCCCGGAGCGGTCCGTCACGGAGTCCCAGTCGCCTCAGATGACCCTAGAGGCTGACTGGGATTAGCCCATTCGCAGAGACATCTACTGGAATAATTTCGGCCGGCAGACCACCCCACATATCGGTCACCTCGTGAGCCAGGTCCAGATATTTTGTTCGCTTATCTGTTTCGGCTTTCACGAGGTTCTCGTCATACGGAATGGTAATGTCTACAAAAAATATCCTTGACTGTGCCCGGTCCATCAGCACAATATCAGGCTCATTCGCAAGAATAGTCCTGTCTGTGATGATGGCCCGGTCCCAATAGAGCCTGGCGCGATCATTTTCGAGCACGGCTTCCGGCAAGTATTTGTAATACGGCAACTTCCGATCCACGAAACCGTATTTCAGAGCGAGCTCCTGGTGTAGAATTCTGGCTACTAGGTTGTGCTTGTGCAAGTACTCAGAGTTAGAAAGCGCCGAACAACCGGAGATGACATGCCTAAGTGACTCACCGGGATGGCGACAAGCTCGACAGACGTCGATGGTGCCATCCTTTAGGATGTATCTCCGATAGTTGTTGGTCTTAATAACCTGATCCTGTATTGCACAGACAAAACCCTCGGTTTCCCCCGAAGAGGTCACCAAAGCGTAGCCAGTGGAGGGAGGTTACTGTGTCTACGAAAGGCCCATGTAGAGACTTGTAGAACCTCCCGTGGAGCTCCTTCTCCTTCCATACGGTCTCCCGGTCGGAAATTGTCTGCACTGCCGGGTCTTGCCATTGCTCGTTGGCTAAGGATATAGGGGTAAGTCCTTTATCACTAGAAATGACGTCATTATAGAATGGATCATCCGATCTCGCCAGGAAGTAATTACGGAGGCTGCACACTTCGCGATTATGCATGGTGAGCGCGCTCAAGAGGCCACGCCCACCATGCTTTCGCGGCAAGTACAGCCTCATTACCGACGATCTCGGATGATGCATCCTGTGGGACGTCATGGTAGTGCGGACTTTTCTATCCAGGGCGTTAAGTTCAGTCTGAGTCCACCTGAGTATGCCAAAGGTATACATGAGGACAGGCATGACCCAGCCGTTATATGCTTGTGTCTTATTCACACCGGACAAAAGGCTGTTAAGCACTTTGGTCAAGCGTGCATAAAACACGTCGCAAACTGACTGTTCATACCAGCCTCATCGATACCGATGTTCTGTGACATACCCAGGTATCGGTATGTTTCAGCCTCGGAAAGGGTCCTTAAGTTGACGGGCATAGATAAGTCTATGCCCTCAGAGTTAGCAACCCTTCCCCTCTCAACATGGAGTACCGCACACTTATCCGTCCCCAGCTCCATTCCAATGGAATTGCTAAATTCACAAGTGATGTTTAGCAATTCCATAAGATGGGAGCGACTGGAGGCGAATAACTTGAGGTCATCCATATAGAAAAGGTGGGTCACTTTTGTCCCTCCTTTCCGTAGCTGAAATCCCCTCCCGGAGCCCTCCAGTAAGGTACTGAGAGGGTTCAGAGAGAGGCAGAACCATATTGGACTCAGACAATCGCCCTGGAAGATACCCCTTCTTATCCTTATGTGGTTCTCCGCAGCCATCATCCGCTCGCCCAGATGACAAAGGATCGTACTCCACTGCCCCATACACTGCTCGAGGAAGTCTCTAACTGTACAGTCTATCTTGTACAGTTCGAGGACTCTCTTTAGCCATGTATGGGGCACCGAGTCGAATGCCTTTCTGTAGTCTATCCAGGCGGCGGAGAAGTTCCGACGGTTGCGTTTCACCACTTTGCCAATGACCGCGTCAATGAGGAGTGGTTCCTTGGTTCCACGACCGCCGCCCCGACATCCATTTTGAGCGCGCGACATCACCTGATTTGAGTCCAGGTGACGAGTGATTCTCGCACTCAAAATGGATGTTAGTGTCTTGTATATGGTAGGTAGACATGTGATGGGGCGGTATTTGCTCGGGTCTGTGGTACCCTGGCCTTTAGGAACCAAATGGGTGATCCCAGTAGTGAAGAGGCTCGGGAGCGACTTCTGGTTGAGAACCTCTTGAAACTGTCGGGCGAGCACAGTGTGACACACCACGAACCCCTTCAGCCAGTAGTGATGCAGCCCGTCGAGTCCCGGACTTTTCAAGTTAGGGGCCATACGGACCGCCTCATCTACGTCATCCGGCGTTATGGTGACGGGGTCCATGGGCGTAATACCCGCACACTGACTTGCCACAACTTCCATCCAAGGGCCCTCGTTGTGGTTTACGGGCTCTGACCACAGGCTGCGCCAGAATGCGACCGTGTCGGCCTGATTCGGTACTGGGCCCGTTCCACTTACCATTGGTCGCTCCAATGATTTATAGAGCCTCTTCTGATCACTCTGGAAGAGACGATTCTGGTTGAACCGTGTCGACCTCTCGGTATATCGCCGAATTCGCTTTCCCCAAGCAGCGATTCTCTGCTTCAGGTCGTCTATGCGCTCCGTCAGTTTTTGCATTATATTCGGCTGGGACAAACTAACATTTGTCCCAGCAAACGCCATCCTGACGCTGCGCACAATCCTTGGCCTGGTATTGCCTGACCTGAAGCATATCAGTCTGCCGATGAGGGCCCTAGCCTTTGCGATACGTTCTTCAATTCTTGTTCTCCAGGCTGGGATAGCACTACTTTGTCCAGTAGTGCGTCCAGCCGTGGAAAGTTTGGCGCCCATAATACGGCAGACTGCCAGTGCGGCGCCAAAGAGAATTGAGTCCGTCTCGCAAGGGTCCCGGCTGGCTTCCAAATAGGTCACCAGCATTGGGTTCAGAGCCCTCACGACAGCCCGATTCCGCCTGCTTAGGTCTATGCGGGGGAAGTCGCGGTCGATTTTCGAGAGGCGTACTGCGCGTTTCCATAATCGTCTCTTCCAATGTACTCCTCATTTGCTCTATTTATAGTTCCTGGGTAAATGTTCCATCATCATTTGAATCAGCAACCACTGGGGTATTCTCGGCGGCATCCACGTGTGCGGGTTGTTCTGCAACTTGTGGCACCGCACCCCCAGTCGTAGCGTTTTCATTTGATGAGGGAACAGCCTCACGTCGTAGCCGTTCGAGTTCGGCGCCATCAAATATATTTGAGCGTAAGATATACCGAACTCGGTCTGCCAGGTTTTGCTCGGTGACAGTAATAGATGGCTCCAGCTCAGTAAAAAGACGATGCATCCTAGCCCGATACGCGAAATTTCCAATTTCTCCCCCTTTCGCCCTAAAATACGCCCGCAATGCGTTTGTATTCATATTGATGGTCCATCGCATGCGGCGTACTCCACCAGTGGCGGGTGCCGATTGCTGGGTCTGCGAAGACCCTGCCGACACCAAGCAAGCTGGTGGGGATGATGGATGCGAGGGGCTGCTGGGTGGTCGTGCAGCACCTCGCGCTCGGCTGGCGTTTCGCATGCTGTCGCGTCCAGCGCCAGCTCCAGACGCGCCCTGGCGACCTCCAGGCAGCGGCCCTTTGCGCAATCTTCTGTGTTCCATCATCCATACAGGGCGTCATTTAACGGGAGACGCCCAGACCCGGCGCCGTTTCATGGTGATGCCATATGTACAAGCGGGCCCTTGCGCCATCAATTTTTGCCGAGGCACGGCGCTCACACCTCTTGGCAAGGTGCTGACTGACTGCGCGGACGTAGCGGTTTTGTCACATAACCGTCACGTCAGCGGGCGATGGGGTCGTAACTTCCCTACGCCATTTCACATAACCGTCACGTCAGCGGGCGATGGGGTCGGATCTTATTTGTTATTATTATTATTATTTTTGGGGTATCTGTATAGTTTTCTCATCTGGTTGGGTTCTATAAATATATAATTATAAATTAAATTGAAAAGATAAATATACATAAATATCAATAACATAAAATAAATATAAAAATACATAAATAAATAAAAGCCCAACCAGATGGAGGCCCTCGGCAGGGGAGACCAAACGGCCGAGGGTTAGGGGGAAAGGGAAAGAAACCGGCGGACGATGCGGGCGGTATCGAGGAGCACCGCCTTCTGCATTTGAGCCCGGAGCGGTCCGCCACGTAGTCCCAGTTGCCTCAGATGACCCGAGAGGCTGACTGGGATTAGCCCATTCGCAGAGACGACTACAGGAATAATTTCGGTCGGCAGACCACCCCACATGTCGGTCACCTCGTGAGCCAGGTCCAGATATTTTGATTGCTTATCTGTTTCGGCTCTCACGAGGTTCTCGTCATACGGGATGATAATATCGACCAAAAATATCCTTGACTGTGCCCGGTCCATCAGCACAATATCAGGCTTATTTGCAAGAATAGTCCTGTCTGTGATGATGGCCCGGTCCCAGTAGAGCCTGGCGCGGTCATTTTCGAGCACGGCTTCCGGCAAGTACTTGTAATACGGCAATTTCCGGTCCACGAGACCGTATTTCAGAGCGAGCGCCTGGTGTAGAATTCTGGCTACTAGGTTGTGCCTGTGCAAGTACTCAGAGTTAGAAAGCGCCGAACAACCGGAGATGACATGCCTAAGTGACTCCCCGGGATGGCGACAAGCTCGACAGATGTCGATGGTGCCATCCTTTAGGATGTATCTCCGATAGTTGTTGGTCTTAATAACCTGATCCTGTATTGCACAGACAAAACCCTCGGTTTCCCCGAAGAGGTCACCAAAGCGTAGCCAGTGGAGGGAGGTTACTGTGTCTACGAAAGGCCCATGTAGAGACTTGTAGAACCTCCCGTGGAGCTCCTTCTCCTTCCATACGGTCTCCCGGTCGGAAATTGTCTGCACTGCCGGGTCTTGCCATTGCTCGTAGGCTAAGGATAGAGGGGTAAGTCCTTTATCACAAGAAATGACGTCTTTATAGAATGGATCATCCGATCTCGCCAGGAAGTAATTACGGAGGCTGCACACTTCGCGATTATGCATGGTGAGCGCGCTCAAGAAGCCACGCCCACCATGCTTTCGCGGCAAGTACAGCCTCATTACCGACGATCTCGGATGATGCATCCTGTGGGACGTCATGGTAGTGCGGACTTTTCTATCCAGGGCGTTAAGTTCAGTCTGAGTCCACCTGAGTATGCCAAAGGTATACATGAGGACAGGCATGACCCAGCCGTTATATGCTTGTGTCTTATTCACACCGGACAAAAGGCTGTTAAGCACTTTGGTCAAGCGTGCATAAAACACGTCGCAAACTGACTGTTTCATACCAGCCTCATCGATACCAATGTTCTGTGACATACCCAGGTATCGGTATGTTTCAGCCTCGGAAAGGGTCCTTAAGTTGACGGGCATAGATAAGTCTATGCCCTCAGAGTTAGCAACCCTTCCCCTCTCAACATGGAGGACCGCACACTTATCCGTCCCCAGCTCCATTCCAATGGAACTGCTAAATTCACAAGTGATGTTTAGCAGTTCCATAAGATGGGAGCGACTGGAGGCGAATAACTTGAGGTCATCCATATAGAAAAGGTGGGTCACTTTTGTCCCTCCTTTCCGTAGCTGAAATCCCCTCCCGGAGCCCTCCAGTAAGGTACTGAGAGGGTTCAGAGAGAGGCAGAACCATTTTGGACTCAGACAATCGCCCTGGAAGATACCCCTTCTTATCCTTATGTGGTTCTCCGCAGCCATCATCCGCTCGCCCAGATGACAAAGGATCGTACTCCACTGCCCCATACACTGCTCGAGGAAGTCTCTAACTGTACAGTCTATCTTGTACAGTTCGAGGACTCTCTTTAGCCATGTATGGGGCACCGAGTCGAATGCCTTTCTGTAGTCTATCCAGGCGGCGGAGAATTTCCGACGGTTGCATTTCACCACTTTGCCAATGACCGCGTCAATGAGGAGTGGTTCCTTGGTTCCACGACCGCCGCCCCGACATCCATTTTGAGCGCGCGACATCACCTGATTTGAGTCCAGGTGACGAGTGATTCTCGCGCTCAAAATGGATGTTAGTGTCTTATATATGGTCGGTAGACATGTGATGGGGCGGTATTTGCTCGGGTCTGTGGTACTCTGGCCTTTAGGAACCAAATGGGTGATCCCAGTAGTGAAGAGGCTCGGGAGCGACTTCTGGTTGAGAACCTCTTGAAACTGTCGGGCGAGCACAGTGTGACACACCACGAACCCCTTCAGCCAGTAGTGATGCAGCCCGTCGAGTCCCGGACTTTTCCAGTTCGGGGCCCTACGGACCGCCTCAGCTTATTATTATTTATATATATATATATATATATATATATATAGCTTATTATTATTATTATTATTATTATTATGTAGGAGAGACCACATTCACAATCAAGTTTGTACACTCCTGCATCTTGCAGAGGGACATTACACTTGACTGATGGTAAAAACTGGTCAATCTTCTTCAGCGGCTTGAAGTATGTTTTGATGGAAGCGCGCTTCAAGATGTAGCCAATCTTGCCAGTGACTCCTCTAACATATGGCAGTACAGCAGGTACACGCTCGACTGTGGCCGGCTTTACTCGTTCACTGTGACGTAGGCGCGGGACCCGAAGCTTGTTGTTATGCAAAACTTGCTTAACTTGCTTAAACGTGCTCTCTGAAACAAAGATTTACCCACGGTAGCTAACTGTGAAGGATGGTAGTGAGAATCACCGTTTAAATATCTATCTGTATGGGTCTTTTTTCTATACACAGTATGGCTCAAAGTGTTATCAGGATTCCGAATTACTAACACATCTAAAAAAGCTAAGGAATTGTTTGCCTCTAACTCCCTTGTGAACTGAATTTTAAAATTTATAGAGTTAAGATGGTTGAAAAATGCAGTTACTTTATCTAAAGGTAGAATTGTGAAAGTGTTGTCTACGTACCGCTTGTAGAATCTTGGATTTATGGGAGAAGTAAGCAGGGCTTTCTCCTCAAAGTCTTCCATGAATATATCGGCGACAATGAGAGATACAGGTATTTAAAAAGTTAAATATACGCGATAAATTCCGTAAAAACTAGTATTATTTCAATGTTTATCTTGTTGGTGTTTTTAAATAAATAAATAAATAGTACAACGAACTACTCACAAAGTTAGTACTCACAAATTTATTTTAAAAAGTAAAATTTAGAAATAAATAAAATCGTTTTCGTTGTAATAAACTATAATAATATAAATTTAAGTAATATGTATATATATGTAAGTTGTAGCAATATAATAATATTAATAGAAGAAAGCTCCTCTAAGCATTCTAACTTCCATGTACATAGTTACATTATGGACGTCCTGAGTGGGACGCACATCCGCCGCGAAATACGACTTTTATTCCAGAACATGATTCATGCTTTATTGTAGCGACCTTTTGTCGGGCTGCGTAAGACAACAACATAAACTTAGTTTCCTATGACGATATTAACATAATATTCGAGTTGTACAACACTTTAGCTCTACTCAAACAAAGCTCCAACTAAGAAAGATTTATAACGCGGTCTGTTTTTTTTAGAATTAGGGTCACAAACGAGCACACAGTCCATTTGATGGAAAGTGGATGCTGAGACACTCATATATCTATATCTATTCCAGATTAAGTATCAAAATGCAATTCCTTGTCACCTGACAGAGCTAACATGGAACGCCTCGTTATCAATAAAAAGGGTTCCCGGTTCTTTACACTCACCATACGAAACATGGCAGTATAGTGTAACGTTACACCGATATTCTGTGAGAGCTTGGTGTTTCCCCGGTCGAGCCAATTTATTCGTTTTACAACAATAATTTAGTTAGCCGCCGTAAAAGTACCCTTGTCACTCAGAACTAGTCTGGATATTACAGGAAACAAAGTATAAG